ACATTAAGTCTATTAATATTATTTCAATTATCATTCAATGTAGTAGGTATTATAGCTATCYACACTGCTTTCTCACTATCCACCTTGAGTCTTAAGTAATTTTCACCCCTAATGGCATCAAGTACACGGCTTCTTTGATGAGCTGGGCCATTTTCACTACCATTAGAACCTTAGCAATAACACACTAGACGTTAGCATAATATCAGCAAGTACGATATCCATTGTATATCAATATCAGAGTTCATTGACTTGGAAARCTTGATACCTAACACGCCTTAACTTAAGGGTTTCATCGAGAGTACAGCCTTTGATGAGTGCAGGATCTTATCTCTCTTTTCATTAGTTGAGCTTTTTACTGGGGGTTCTCTAGTGTCGTGTCACCAGTGATATTTGTAGTAAAAGCTTTAWGGCAGTAGCAATGTAGTTTGGATGATTGTAATGACCTTAACACCCTTCTACGCCTACTACTAATTTTTGTTGCCACTAAGCCTTTGATTACTCAAGAAAAGCTTTACAGTGCACATTGACATGTCAATGTACAGGTTATAAGAACAACCATAGGGTTGCAATATTAACYGTGACATTCTCCTCATTGATCATAGAGAGCTACCTAGGATCCAAGAAGAAAAAAACGAATTACAGTTATTTAGGCGACCTACATCGATGCACAGGGCAGAAGAGAAAGCAAAAGGCCACATCTTTAAGACATCCTCACACCTAAGAAATATTTTCTTAGGGAGGGAGGGGGGGGGGGGATACGAGTGGACTGCTGCCACACCTCTTAAACATTATAGTAAAGTGCATGATTATATGCCACACATGTACAATGTACCAAATAGAGTACGATAATGTCTAAGTTGCTTTAGACAATTAAACATCTCAGTGTAATCAAACTAGATTTGAATTAAAAGGATCTTGAGGTAAACGAGACGAACGAAAGTTATTTGATTGGAAGAAAAAGGAAGTGAATCAGCAAATCCGGAGATCTATTTTAATCTATTTCTGGCTGCTTCTGTACTACCTTGGACGCACTTGGAGACGCACTTTCTTTCTTTCTTTTTTTCTTAATATTATGGAGACTTGGGTATTACCTATGACGTCATGAGAATGACTTGACCTAGTTTCCATCAGGCAATGCGAATCCTTAGGGACCTAGCTAATTGTTTTTATTTTAAGAGAGAATTCTTTTCGTATTCAAGCAGTGAGTGCCAAACATTTTCTTGAAGAAAGGCTGTTGTACAAGGCTAAAATCTTGTTATTCAGAAAGTTTAACTTGTTTGGAAGTGGAGATGACCGATGAAAGTGGAATCAAAGTGTTAACCCAAAGCAAAAAKTTTATTCGAAAATTAGGTTTAGACCTACATTTCCTTATTTCCCATATATTTTCTATAACAA